CGGACCTTGGCATGTGCTGGTGACGGCAGGCTACTTCGTCCTGCCGTTGGTGGTCTGTGCAGCTTTGCTGCACCCCGTGGTGGCCTGGCTGCTGCCGAGGCAGCGGACGCCGCTGCAGGAGGCGCGCCGGGAGTACCTCAGCGAGCTCAGCTCGTTCAGCCCAGCAACCATTCCTGCTGCCGAAGACCAGGACCACCCCCGGAACCAAGGACTGTCCATGCACGCTTTGCAGCATTTCTGGGAACACTTCAAGCGCTTCGTTCTCGAGAGAAACATGCACTTTGTCGTGGCCAACATCGTGGAGCCGCTCACGGAGAAGCGACAGACATCTTTCGTAAGCCTCCTGCAGGGCAAGCCAGTGTCATACTTTGTTTCGCACAGCTGGGCCACCCCTTTTCAGCACTTTGTCCAGTGCCTGCAGCGCCACACAGCCTTTACGGGCGCCTTGGAACCCACTTACTGGATATGCTCCTTCGCCAACAACCAGTGGGACATTGCCAAGGAGATCGGGACCGACGTCCTTGACAGCGCCTTTGCCAAGGTCCTCCAATCCGGCGTGCAGGGCGTGGTCATGGTGCTGGACCAGCAGGTCCAGCCCCTTACACGCCTCCAAGCTCAAGGGGGTCTGCTGAGTAGGGAGATTTGTTTCCTTTTGAAGCATGCTACTGCGGACTCAAGTTGCAGTTTCAAAGCTGTTTTCTAGGTGAATGCTCTTGCAGAGTCCGAGGCGTGTGGTGCCTTTTCGAGTTTTTGCTTTCAAGTCAGCTCCAGCTCGATGTGGTCTTTGCAACGGATCTCGGTGTGCTAGGCGACCAAGGCGCTTCCCCAGACATTGCCCTGCAAATTGGTCGGAAGCTGCGGACCCTTCAGGTGGCAAACTGCTGCGTGCTGCTGATTCATTGGGTTTTTTTATAGGACTTGGGGTTGTAGGCCGGCTCGCTGGTTAACGGTGCAATGAGACGTTGCGTCACAAGCAAGGTCATGCGTCTGCCGAGGAGGATAAGCAGAGGATCTTTCAGTTTATACGATGCAGGATGGGAAGCCTTGCAAATATGGACATCCAAATTAGACAGCAGATGAGCCGAATTCTGCAGCACCTGGAGCTAGAGACATGCATACCTGGGAGTTCACACGTCGCATGTCGTTGCTTAGGGTTGGCGCATGCTCTGTTTGCTGTGTACTTCATCTGAGGCAGAATGTTCAAAATTTGGCAGATGCCACAGAGACCTTGCTTCTGGAGATGGGCTGAAGGCACCCAAACAACATATTGAATTCACATCCTGCTCGAGGACTGAATGCACGGATTCGACGTTCCCGTGACAGTCCTGCTAGCATGAAGCAGCACATAAGTTGAATTGTCAAAATGTTCTTATCAGACGCCTCTCACAAGTTGCAAGCTAGTTGGGCACTTTCCTGGGGTTTCCTGGAGAAATCGCGTTGAATATGTTGGCTGTAAAAAAAATCCTTGTAGCAAAGACTTTGGCAATCTTGCACGTAGGGATCGGCGAGTAGTCTTGTAGTCCGCAAGAGACGTTTCCCCCGGAGGCCTCCACTTTTGGCAATAAGCCCAACTCGTGAGAGGTGCTCCTATTAGTGCGCTTGCCACAAGTTGTCGGCGCCAAATTAGTGCATGCCT